GTGAGCATCCTAGAATGCCAATTTACTAGAAGAAAGTATTCTTGCATTGAGGGAGTACTTGATTGGAGGCCCAATGTCCTTCCAGCAGCAGTTATTTTTATGATTTAATAGTAACAATGGAGTTTTACTACGTTAGAATCTTCAGTGGCATTTTATTTAAAAGACTATGTTGACTCCAAGTTTTTATTTAAAAGAATTATGAGTCACATATAAGCTTCTAAAGTAAGGAGGAAATATAAGTATAAAATGTCTGTACACAGTATGAAAAAGACCTAAAGGCCTAAACAAATACATAAGAAACTTGATAAATATGAATGGCTGAAAGATCAAAAACAAGACAGCATCTCTAATTATAGTTAACAGAAATCTTTGAGAAAGATGTATTCAAGAAATTCAGATAACTCACTAGATATACATCAAGCCCTAGGGTCTCCCAAAAGAAACTATTTCAAAGAGAATTTAAAACTCTCAGAGGGGGGTAGCAATAAGAGTGTCTTCACTGTAAAGGATATGGGGATACTATGTATAAGCTATCATCTGACCACAGCTACAAGTTGGCTCTGTTATCAGGCCTGTTTCTGTCTATAAATTGGCTTGTCTCTGACTGGTAAAGAGAGGAATGATGTCAGCCTTTAGTGCAGCAGTTATCCACAAATATTCTCACTGTCATCGAGTCAATTCAGACTCATAGCACCACTTTAGGTTAGGTTAGAACTGCCCCTGTGGGTCTCTGCAACTCTTAACTCTTTACAGGTGTAGAAAGTCAGGTCTTCTCTTGCGGAATTTCCACAGCTGACCTTACACTTAGCAGCCCAATGTGTAACCATGACATCACCACGTCTTTTCTCTACAAGTGAAGGGGCTTTTAAAAAAATGGTATTAATACCAATTTTGGCATTAATGGAACTTATGGAATAAATTTCTGGAATTTTATAATGGAATTTTTCTGGAGGGTGGGAGAGGATGGAAAAAAATGAGGAGCTGATATGAAGGGCTCAAGTAGAAAGAAAATGTTTTGAAAAGGATGATGGCAACATATGTACAAATGAACTTGACACAATGGATGTATGGATTGTTTTAAAAGCTGTAAGAGCCCCCAATAAAAGTTTTTTTTTTTTAAAGATAATAATGGAATTTTTCTACAAACTCTTTGAAGCTTGTGCCTATGATCCCCCACAGCCAAAGACACAGAACCCTAATGGAACGGCAATAACAAGCTGTAAAAGGACCACTTCGCCTCACATTCTGTCTCGTGGTTCCGTTTGCCCGTGTACTCACTCTGCCTTGAGAGTACATAGAGTGCAAGTCACTCTTCTCTTTGGGCATGGGCGATGGGCATTGTTCTTTGAAAATCAGTAATGTTACAGGCCCCTTCAGAAGATCATTGCATACAAGAGGTATCATACCTCACTGCTAAGGGCCAAGCAAATGGTGAAACGGAAGCTAAATTCCAGAAGTTTACTCCTTGAGATTGGTCCACTTCTCATTTTTCTCCACTTTGTGTGATTAAGAAACATTTTTAGTGGATTAAAAAAAGCCATTATAATGCAGATTGCTATAGGAATGCACTGTGTAACTTAAGATCCCATTTAAGCAGTTTCTTTATGAAGGGACAGCTCAACAGCCAAACTTAGATGTTTTTTAAAACCCACAGAAAAGAAAACACAAGATCCAGAATCATGTACTCCTAGCAAGAATCCATTTTGTGCGAAGCCTGCACACCTACGCTTGAGCCTGCCCCTCTGGCGAATCCCTCCGCTCATTCCTCCGGGACTCAGAGCCTCGGTGCACCTCTGTGTCACACTGGATCCTGGGGCCACCGTTTCGTTTTCTTTTGTAATAGTCTCATATTTACTGTGTTGTTTTTTCTCATTACTCTGGACTCAAAATGTCTAACTTTGTTAATACTTTTATTAGGATTGTTATTAATGTTCTGGTTATAGAGTTGCAATAAGGAAACTGAATAGTTTCAAATAAGACCCTAAACCCAGGGTGCTTTCTGCTTCACAATGGTTATTCTCTATTCACTGTAATTTTTTCAAAAGCGTGAGATTTTTCAGGGCACATATAAAGCTTAGTAGCAAAGTCAGGACAGAATGCAAGAGTATTTACTTAGAACACAGGCCCCCAAATGCGGCTGATCATTGGAATCACCTAGGGGCTTGTGGAGCCACAGTCTCTGAGCTCTATTTGTTGCCTAGTGTGCAGAGGAGCCCAGGGATCTGTCGTTTCACAGATCTCTAGGGGAGTATAATGACCAGCCACGTTTGGGAACCTAAGACTTAGAACATAGGTGCCCAAATGCATTTGGCCTACCACTCCTTTTCAGAAAAAAAAAAAAAATTACTCGTCAACCCCCAGTAATTTTAAAAAGTCATATATTAAAAAAATTGTACTATGGCCCATAATCCACAATAAAGTATAGTTATCTGCTTTTGCAGCCGTGTTTGTTTGTTTTTAAACTCAGTCCACTATTTTTATAGAAAAAATAGCGAGTCTAAGAGACCACATCTCACAGGACGAGATTTGAACTAAAACCTTAGTCTTTTGATACCTACTAGTATATTTGATCCACAGTAGTTTCCAAAAGAACTAAAATACACCCAATGCTTTTGACAAAACAACGATCAGACTAATTGAAATGCAATACGTACCTAACCACGTCCGAATGATGCTCATATAGTCCTTGTTTTTGGCTGAGAGAAGCTTGTCATAGGAAGGGCAGCCTGCCAGAAGGATGCGATCATGGTCCTCACACATGGATATCAGGTGCTGCTCTGCGCTTCGGGTGCAGCATACGTGGTAATGAGCCAGTTTTGTTATGGCATGTCTGATAGAGTCATCAATGGTCCCACTGACTTCCCCACCTTCAATGTGAAGGATTCGGATGTTCATCAAAGCAGCAGATGTGGCCAAAGCCAGGGCATCGAACCTGTCTCCATGAACAATCATGACATCAGGCTGCAGGCGATTGAGCACATCTGGCAGCTTGACCAGAGCCAGGCCTACTGATTCTACCATGGCCGCCTCATCTTCTCCTCTGACGATCGTGTGCAGCCTGGTGTTAATGTCAAAGTCATCTTGTTCAATCATGCGATATGTGTTTCTAAAGCAGGAGAGAAATAAAGATCTGAGAATATATCCTTAAATGTAGGAGCATTTGAGAACAGGAATGACAATCTAACACTAAGCCCGACAAGAGAGAGAATTCTTGTTGTTAAATAAATAAATTGAAGTGCAATACTTCAATAATTACAATAACTTAACACACTTCCTTTAGATACACATTTCTTTTAAATACACAACAAGGTTCACAGTTTTTTTTACATGAATACACTTGTACTCACCACCTCAGCCAAAATAAATAATACTTCTAGACTAGTACCTGGAGGGAGAAACACCTGAGGGAGAGTCGTTTTATTAGGAAGAGACCAAATTTATTATAGTAGTCATTTTTCTCCTTCCTCTTGTGTATATGTGTGTATTCACCAATTTTTTAAAAAGCTGTTCTAATAGTAGAAAAATGTACATATAAAAACAAAGTTTATTTGTACACACACAAAGCTGGGAATCAGAATGCCTAACATGTCACAATAAACTTCGGAATGTTGAAAATCATCTCCTGAATGCTCCGGATACAGTACCACTGCTGTTTTCGCTCCCAATGGCTCCGCCCCGACTCGTGACGACCCCACATACAATGGTATTGCACCACGGTGCTTCATAAGGTTTTCACCGGCTGACTTCCAGGCTGTTCTTGTTAGTTTGTTTTACTCTGGAAGCTCTGCCAAATCTTATTTAGCATTGGTGATATTTATCCTTCTTTAGGGTTGACCTTCCTTGATATGTATGTTGATGTTTTTCACCAAATATAGAAAATCCTGATGATCATTTCTTCTAAAACTTTTCTGCTCAATTTTATCCCTCTGTTCTGATAACCCAATTAAATGTACATGAGATTGCTTCCGATATTGGTTCAGATATCCCCGAGATTGTTCTCTTTCTTTCTTTCTTTCTCTTCTTCGCCTTGCTAACTCCTAATGATCTGTCTTGTTCAAGTTCACTGATGCTTTCTTCAGTTATCTACCTCAAGCAGATTTTTCACTTCCTATATTGTACTATACAGTCCTAGACTTTAATTTTTATGTATTACATCATCTTTATAGTTTCTGTTTCCTGTGGAGGTAACTGTTTTCAAAATCCTTGCTGCTAATTCCAACATCTAAACCATTTCAGGGTCTGTTTCTACTGACTGCTTTTTCTCTTGATGTTAGGCCAAAATTTCCTGCTGTTTTGCATAATTTGCAATTATATGCTAAACATAAAGATGGTCCACAATACAGACTGGATTCTGTATCTTCCTCCTAGGTGATTTTGTACAAGCAGGAGAGTGAGTTGTGTTCAAAATGGACAGCAGATGGCATTTGAGCTCAGTTTTTTCGGCCTCTGGCTGTTGCTTTCTGCTGGGCTGCTATGATCCTCCATTCACGTGTAGTTCATCACACATTGGAGAAGAGTTAATATATGAGAGGGCATCAAAACGTTTGTGGAAGTGGAATAAAAAAATAACAGTAGTTTCCCACAAACTTTTTGAAGCCCCCACACAGTCACATGGCTTAAGACCCATGATGTACAGTGACAAGTGTGCCTGTCACGTTCAGTCTTGTGGTTCCTCTCCCAAGAGGCAACTCATTTCTTATCTTAGAATACACTTTTCATTAAGTACTAGTTGAGTTTCCAATTACATTACCTTTCCAAACTTAATGATTATAGTAGTACATAAGAAACCTACTACAATTTCCCTGAGAGCCTCTCTCCTTTTATTCTTTTATCAATCTTTTCTCACACAAGTAAGCAAATTCACTGAGATGTTCATCCCGAGCAATAAATAAAATTCCGCTTACTTCTTATTATCCAAATGGCTATTTCAGTCAGACATCCTCTCACCTAGAAGCAATCTAGAGACCCTTGAGGCGGCCATAAGCTCATTCTCTAGTGTGCACATATATTTTCTGACAGCACATTGCCTAATTGCTTTATAGAAGGCAGGTTTTTGTTGTTGTTGTTGTCTTGCTTTTAAAGAATAGTCTTAAAAAGACAATTTTAATTTAACACATTTTCTTCAAGTATAATGGCATTAGGGTTTTTTAAACATCTTTGGAAACTGCATTAATAGTTCCATGACAAGGGCGCACTAAATGCTACTTTACCACTTTCTAAGAGTTCAAGCACATAGGGCAAAAATTCATGTTAATGTCTAGTTTATACATTCTACTTCCTCAAAGATTTCCCAGCCTCTTTTTAAATTTGAGATTGTGATCAATAGCAAACCTAGTGACATCATAATAACTATCAATGACAATGGTCTACTTCACTTAGGGATCATGATTGTGTGCCTTCACCTTGATTCGGACGATAGCAACCCTAAGACTTAGGAAAGCTGCCTCTTAGGTGTCCTAGGCTCAAAATGCACAGAAGCTGATCGCCAGGTCTCTTCTCCTATGGGGGTTCCAACCACCAACCTTTTGTGTTGGCAGCAAGCACTGACCCATTGCACACCAGAGCTCTTCATATTTTAACCTGTTTTCTGTGAGGCTGCTGTTATGCTTGAGCCCATAGTTGCAACCACTGTGTCAATGCATCTTGTTGAAGGGCTTTCACTTTTTTGCTAACTTCCTACTTTGCCAAGCATGATGTTTTTCTCGGTATTGGTCTCCCCTGATAACGTGTCCGGAGTATGAGACAAAGCCTCACCATCCTCCTTTGTATTTCCTCCAAGACTGATTTGTTTGCTTTTCTAGAAGTCCATGATATTTTCAATATTCTTTGCCAACACTGTAATTCATATGCATCCATTTTTCTTCAGTCTTCCTTATGCACTGTCATATGCATGTGAGTTGACTGAAAATATCATGGCTTGGGCCAGGTACACCTTAGTCCTCACCATGACATCTTTGCCTTGTAACACTTTGAATAGGTCTTGTGCAGCAGATTTACCCAGTGTAATATGTCGCTTGCTTGCTTGACTGCCACGTCCATGCATTGTGCCATACCTGTATTTACATATGTTGTTGACCTCTATACAAGTATAACTGCCATCAGAGCTTACAAAACAGCACGGGGAATAGTCACATTACACATTATAGTCACACAATATAGATTTATAAGTGACATTTCGCACAAATGCACTAACCAGTAATAGTAATGTTTATACTTATCATCTATCACGCATCTACTACACACCACCACAGTGACGGGTGTGTGCACCACTCTGTCCCTCACAGTGTAGGTCTTTAGTCCATTTGATGCTTGAAGAAACTGAGGCTCATAGGTGCTAAGTGAATTCTCCAAGGTCACATTAAAAGAACAAAGTGGTAACGGTGGGATTTGAAGCTCATTCCAAACAGCCTCAAAAGCCAAGTTTTCACTAATACACCCGAAACAATGGAGAATAACAACGAAAGCACTTTCGTCTTACCCATAGTCATCTATCAGGTGAGAGCCAAGTACCACCACATCAAGCTCAAAGAAGTCAGGTTCCGTTTTAATGCCGAACATGATCGGGGCAAGTTTGGAATAATCAGCACGGTTGCAAGTAGCGACACAAACACGTAGCTTCCGGTTATTCCCATTCTTCTCCATGACTTTCTTATGTTGTTTTAAGAGGGTCTTAAAATAGAGTTCCTGAAGTTGCAAAAAATGAAAATGATTATTTATCATCAGAATGACAGGTCCTAAATGTAAACACAGAAAGCTTTTATTTTAAGACCTTAAAAGTTTGCAGTTGTAAGGAGCCCTGTGTATGCACTGGTTAAAGCACTTGTCTGCTAACCAAAGGTCAGGATCAAAACTCATCAGCTGCTCATCAGGGGAAAGATGAGGCGGTCTGCTTCCACATAGATTTACAGTTTTGAAGACCCTACTGGATGGTTCTACTCTGTCTTCTAGGGGGCTATGGGTTGGAATCAACTCAAAGGCAGTGGGTTTGGCTTTGCCCAGTCCTTAATCACTATTTAGCATATAAAAAAACAACCCAAACTCACTGCCATCTAATTGAATCCAACTCATAGAGACCCTAGAAGACAGAGTAGAGCTTCCACGAACACTCAGGAAGGCATCCTGGAATGCACGTGAGAGTGATGTAATCAACTCTCTTTTATAAAAGCAAGCAGTTATACGGTAACGGTTACTTGTCATACTCCATAATTGATCCCCACATGCAAAACTCTGGCTGAGAACCACTGATCTAGGTCAGTGCCCTCCATTTACAGAAAGGAAAACATGTGTCTTGAGAGGGAAATGATATCCTCCGGATTCAAGATCGCATCTTGTTACAGTTACGATCTCTTCACCGATACTATGTATATATATATATACAGGGCACCATGATCAGCGCTGGGGAAGCAAATGAGGAAGATAAAAGCCCTGCCTCCGAGGCCTATATAACAGTAACTGCCAAACTGACCACTCTAAAGGCTACCAGATACTCCTCTTCTGTGTCCCATAGGTACCTGAAAGTCCCAAACAGAGCTCATTTTCTTTTCTAAGCTTGTTGTTTTTGCCTTCTTCTCTCAGTTAGACACTTCCACTCACTCAAATGCCTTGACATCTGGTCTTCCCTGTTCTTTACCCCATTTCTCCTAAGCCTTGTCAATTCTAGCTCAGAATCCTTCAGATCCATCCCATCTTCATCCGACCAGGATTCCTCTAAGTCCAAATCTTCACCTTAACCCCACCCACTGCCACTGAGTCATTCTGACTCCTCGTGACCCTACAGAACAGGGGAGAGCTGCCCTTGGGGACTTCTGGAGCTGTAAACTCTGGGGGAGCAGAAAGCCTCATCCTTCTCTCGGAGCGCTGGTGGGTTCGACTGCTAACCTTGTAGTTAGCAGCCCATGTGTAACCCAGACAACCAGGGCTCCTTGGGCTTCATTTTAGGTCTGTTTAAATGACTATTCTAATGACTTGCTTGTCTCTAGTCTTGTCCTGCTTGGCAAAAACTTTTGAGTGATCTTTCCAAAAATCATAAATCTGACTGTATCACGCCAACCATCTACGACTTGTGACAGAAAGTTTAAGCTGCTACTTTGGACCTAGTCCATCTTTCCAATCTCTTCTGGATGATTGGATCTCTCCTCAGACTGGAAGGATGGACCGGGTGACAGAGCATAAGCCATACCAAAGCACCTGCAGCTCAGTGAATGATCTCCATACCTTACAGATGCAAATCTCCTCTGCCTAAACCTTCCTTTTCCTCTTGCCCAGTCCTGTGTCACTGCTTTTGGCACGCTTTCATATAAACTTGTTCCTGTTCACCCCACCCCACTGAGTGGCTCCCTCCTTCTTAGCACTCTGCCCTACCACATGTCCCTGACGGGGCTTCAAAACATCATGGGGAAAAATATTGAAAAGATAATGGGCTTTTCCCATGTGTTGAAGCACCCTCCTTCCCCCATACTGTGAATTCATGCATCTGCCACGCATACATTACCCTTCATTCAAAAATACAAAGCCGGGATAGGAATAAGAGATGTTTTATGGAGCACTGTAAATGTCTTGACTTACATATATAACTTCACTGACTCTGATTCCAATGCCTATGTTCTGGAAAATATACCATTGTTTAGAATTTGTAATCAGGGGGAAAAAGAAAGAAAGAATTTGTAATCAGGAATCCAGAGAAGCTTGAATAAGGATGCCAATGAAATGGGAACTTCCTTTCTGACCAGGGTAAACCGACGCTCACTGAAGGCCCTCTGTTCTGGGCTCCTCATCTCTCTCGGGCTGAAAGAACCTGTGGCCACACAAACTGCCCCTCCCTAGGCTGACTCTGAACTTTGCACCCCAAATGAAAGCTAATTCTACCTGATGGAAAGCAATTTTAAGATACTGAAATGAGCTTTCTGCCCAGACAGTGGTATTCCTAAGGTCTAAGCATTATTTAATGATTATTAAAGAGACAAAAATATTCTTCAGAAATAGCTGTCTTAAGTGTTCTTGCATAGAATTCTCCCTCCACTGATCATTAACTTTGAGCTAGATCAATTACTACTGATATTTAATTTACTACATGAGATAAAGGAAACCACTCATGATTGGTCAGTGTATATTTATTTTACAATGAACAATCAACTTCCATGTGGCAGTATTGAAACCTTAAGCCTTTCCCAAAACTCAAAGCCTATTCTACAAAAATGGAGAATAAGCTAGTCATATAAATAAATGATGACAAAAACATCAGGCCAAAGCTTTTCTTTTAACTCTTAAAAGCAAGTCATATGAGGTTGTGGAGACATTTGAACACCTGTTCACTGCTAGTGAGACTATAAAATGGTACAGATGCTTGGAAAAACTGCTTGCTCCAAAAGTGAGGCAGAATAGCCAGATGATCCGACAGTCCCACTTCTAGGTACATTCCCCAAAGAACCGAAATCAGGGACTCAACCTAGCTGCACACCATGTCCATTGCAGTATTATTCACAAGAGCTAAAAGATGGAAATATGCCTGTTCAGCGCTCCTGTCTCCAGTAGTTTATGCCACCCCCCACCCCACATGGAGGAGGGGTTGAGCGGTGTGGCAGTCCCTCCTCCACTCCCTGTCCTTGAAACCCAGTAGGAGAGGAGTCAGCTCTAGATTCTAAACTGTATCCTGCCCCTGTGTTACTGCTATTGGTGAGGGAGTGTTAAACAGTCCTGTAGCAAAAAATAAAATAAAAAATGGAAATAACCCGAGTGTCAAATAACAGAATGAATAGATGGATAAAGTATGGTACAATGAAATACTGCTTAGCATAAAGAGAAATTAAATTCTGATATATGCTACTCAATGGGTAAACCTAGAAAATATCATACGCTAAGTAAAATAAGCCAGACACCAAATGACTAATATGGAGTGCTCCTCGATTTAAAAAATAAAAATAAAATAAACATTGTGCATTATGTTAAACCCAGAAATCTGATTAAACATGGATCAATTCTCATCTGAACTGTAATCTGTTAACTTCCTTAATAAACCCTTCAACACAAAAACAAACAAAAAGAAAGAAGTATGTACGCTAGGCATTGCATAGAGACTGCAGCTTACTAGTAGTTCCCAGGAGTCGGGGGGAGGGAGATATGGACAGTTCTTGATTTTTTTAATTAAAAAAAGCAAATAATGGTAAAATGCCCTTTAAAGAAGAAAGCGGTTTTAAAAATTATTTTAATGTAAATAATTGTTGTATTGGGTAATGCATGCCCATTTACTCATGTTTAAACAGATTTAAAACTCCAATGTCACAGGCTATAGAGCAAGAGCTTCTGATCTGTATTTTCTAGCAATCTGTATCTGGTCTCTGGGAGCTAAGAGTTACTAGTATTTTATTTACCTTGCATAGATTATACTAAGCACATCTAAATACATATATTTTATCGTTGGTTATATATCTACAAGCTGTTATTATACATCTTGCTTTTATAATGGACTAAGAGGTTGACAGGCTTTGACTTGGTGACAGGAGGATAGAGACCCACGAGGGAGAAGAGCAACCCTGGAGCAGAGGGTGGGACAGAAGATGAGGGAGGAGGGGTGCTTGGGGAGGGCTATAAACTGTTGAATGCAGAGTTGATGGTTTGAAATGTAACCCCTTCCACCTAATTCACAATTTAAAAAAATCACAAACAAAAAAACCCACAGAAATAAATGAAAATGCTTTCAATTGCGTTTCTGAATTAAATGGTAAAGTGGAAGTGTAAATGTACTGGGAAGGAACCTCAAGGTGCAAAGTGCTGAAGATTACTGACCATCAACTTTTCAAATATCTAAAGGGCTATGAGAGCTACGAATATAACAATATTCACTGGCACAAACATTTCTGGAACATCTTCTCTTCAGAAAAAAGCTAAGAGCTGTGGAGCTGAGAAGGACCTCCAACCAAAACCAAGCTCACAATTATCGAGTAGATTCCAGCTCACAGAGACTCACCAGGACAAGGGAGAGCTGCCCGTGGAGGCTTCCAGGACCGCAAGTTTTGGTGGGAGTGGAACAGCTGGGGATTTCACATTGCAACCTTGTGGGTACAGCCCAATGAGTAAGCACTACCCCACCAGAGCTCCTCGAGAAAGACTCAGCCCTTGAATTTTAGAAACTTACAATCTAGTACAGGACGCCAGGCCACACAATAGATTTTAACAAGTTTACTTTCTCCAACTGAAGAATCAGAAATAAAATTGATTTTTCCCCCTCTTTCCAGTGTACATTATTTACTTGTTAAGGATAAGATGCCATGCCTCAAAATCTACTTTTAGATGGAAAACGGTGACCAAAGTTGTCTTTATCAGTATGAGACAGGTGAATGTGATGAAACGGACTTAAGAAGCACAGAATTTAAGCTGTATAAAGTTCAAGATAAAGCAAGCAACATAAAGCTCGTTAATTTCCACAGTGAAATCCTGCAGTTAAATTTTAATTGCAATGAAAAAAGGACTAAGTTCATATTGTCAATATCGCTAAGTCACAAAAGCATAAGGCATGTTTTAAGGAAAAACAAGGAAGTCTAAGAAGTTGAGTACAATAGGGACCATTTTTGTAAATGCTGAGAAAGACACCGGCACTACTCTTTGGTGGTGGTATTTCGTCGCACTTCCTTTGGACATGTGATCAGGGGAGACCAGGGCCTGGAAAGGGACCTCGCGCTTCACAACATGGAGGGGGGCAATGAAGAGGAAGACCCTCAGCACGATGGACAGACCCAGTGGCTGCCACCGTGGGGTCCAACAATAACAACACCTTGAGAAGGACAGGCGGCTTTCTTTCTGTTGTACATGGGGTCACGAGGAGGCCCCTGACAACTCACAACATGTACTGACATACAAGGATAAGTCGTTTAAAAAGCATGGTACTAGAGCGGCAGTTCATTCATCCACGTGTTTATTCTAAACAAAACATGTGTAAGCATGTTTCTGTGATGGGGGAAGGCTGCAGCCACGTTCTCTCAGTCATGCACATGTCTTAGTCTCCTTGGAGTGCTTTCAAAAAAAGGTCAAATCAAAACAGCAGCCTCAGAGGGTGTACTGGCCAGTTAAATTCAAACAGAGAAGTCAGCTCAGAAGGTTACGGTGACTAATTTGGGGGATTCTTCATAGATGTTTTTCTAAAGGACACAAGATGATCACAGGAGCTAATTATGGAAGATGTTTTAAGAAAATGGAAACACTGTTGGTGAGAACAAGCCAGGAAAGCTGAGGAATGTTTGCCCAGCATGACAATGCATCTGCTTATTCTTCAAGGGTAGCAAAGGTTGTCCTATGAGAATTTTATTGAGAAACCCACCCTACCCCATCCACCTGATAACTGTGATATTCCCCTTTAGGATGCCTTTTATCTTGAAATTCCAAGAACACAATTGAGTACAATTTGAGTCCCTCAAGGATGCCAAACCACTGTTGTACCATGTGACCAGAGAGCACAGAATTCTTCAGAGAAGGGTCCCAGAGACGGAAACGCCGCCCACCTTCAACAGTGTATAGACCTAGATAGAGGATATGTTGAGAAACAACAGCTTCATATTCTGATTTGTTGGACAGTGCTTTATTTTTGTGAAGCAGGTGATTTCTCCCCTCTTCTGCGTCTTGATTCACTTCCTGCAGGTGTCCTCTTGGGAGAGAATTCATAAACACAGGAAAGCCTTTGCCAGAAAACATCTTTAATCAATAAAGAGAACTCTGGCCCTAGGAAGATTTGAAAAGGTTTCTGGCATCTTCCGAACTTTTGCATAATTGATGAATCCTCTGAGAAACAGGAGAAAGCCGAGAACCAGAAACACCCACCAGAGTCAGTACTGGCTGTCCAAGTATCCAGGGAAATAGGCAGAGAACCTGACAATCAGGATCCACTTAATTAGCAAGAGACCAATCCTGAAATGGCCCCATACGTTCCTGCAGCTGAGGTGGTCAGGTAAAAAGACAGGGAAAACCCAACCCAGTTAAAGAGGAATGCCATGAAAAATGTTAACATGAAAATCCCATCATTTCCTATCCTCAGCTGGTCAGCATCATTAAAATCATCCCGGCCCACAAAATCTTCATCTCTTCCGGAACCAGAGGGATGGTGGCTTCAGCCATGGTTCTCTCAGCTGCATCGTAACTGGGCAGTGTGGTAGCCACCTTGTAAGATGGGGGCTTTGCAAACCCAGACTCATCTTTGTACTCAAAATAGGCCCCACTCTAGCGATGCTGCTGTAAGGAGGTTTGGGGGGGGGGGGCAGGGAGGAGGGGGGCTGGTTGCAGCGCTTCCAGCCTGCTCAGCTTCTCCTGGCTCTTCATTCTGCAACTTCCCAACTTGATAGCTGAAGACAAGCGGGTGCACAAGCAAATGTGGTGAAGAAAGCTGATGGTGCCCTATAGCGTCTGGGGTCTTAAAGGCTTGAAGATAAACACGCAGCCATCTGGCTGAGAAGCAACAAAGTGCGCATGGAAGAAGCACACCAGCCTCGTGATCACGAGGTGTTGATAGGATCAGGTATCAGGCATCAAAGACCCAGAACAAAAAATCATATTGTGAATGAAGGGGAGTGCGAGTGGAGACCCAAAGCCCATCTTATATTCTGATATTTGTAATAAAGGTTTCTATGATTTTATAGCAATACTGTTTTACTTACCTTCAAAAAGTAAACTTGTATGGGAACAGAGGACAGGAGAGGAGTGGGAGAGAAGGAAAAGGAAAATGGGGAGGTAGGGATGAGGGTGAAAGGGCTTTAGCTAGGTACATAAACACTTATTTTTTGTAAAAGACAACAAGCAGAAATCTGAAACAAACATGGCAACATATTAATAATATGTGTTTTTAAGTTTGGGAGCTGGCAGAGGATGTCTACTGTTCTTTCTAAGCATATGTGAACTATTTCAGAATAAAAAAGAATAACTTTTAAAAGGGAACACTATGAAGTAAGTGTTGTCCATAGTATCCTGAAGCTTTAAAACTCAGAGAGAACGAACGAGGGATTGGATATTTACATTCATTTCTCCATTTGACTCAACCCCATAATCGTGACCTAACGAGACCAACAACTGTGTGTATGCCCACATCCAACAGAAAAGTCTGCTTCTGCCTTGCCCTCACTGGCAATCTCTGAGAAACCCCACTCTTCAAAAGCCCTTCCTGCATTCTCTTCAACTGGGCATTATAAACACTGACAAAAGGTGATCAACCCATCCCAAGAAAATAAAGAGCATCCCACTCAACTCTGGATAAAGGTTCCACTTCACGTACACATGTATCTGCATCTATGTATCCATATTATGTGTATGTAATTACCGTGAAGTGATAAACACAATGACAAAAGCTCCAGCAGTCATTGATTAAACAATAGTAGTAGTAAACATTTGCTAAGTAACCCCTGGTGGCCAAACGTGTGCTATTTAGTTCTGCATATCCCTCTTATTAGCTCCATTTCACAGACAGGGACAGTGGGTATGGAGAGAATATTTGCTTTTCCAAAACACAGTTAATAATCAACAGAACCAAATCCCAAACCAGATGAGAATGATTCCAGTTATCAGGATATTGCCCCACATGCAGTATTTGCCTTCTCTCTGTTCATTTCACAAACATGGGGTGCCTGGCACTACTAGAAACCACGAGGCTTAAGAAGTGCAGAGAAGCTGAGATAGGAATTTGAAGGGGTCTGAAGGAGAAAGCGGCTTGTAACTCAGTGCTCTATGCCTCAAGTATAATTCGGTTGAGCTTCTTGTCTTTCCAGAGTTCCTGCAGTTGGGGCTTCAAAAAAACCGTGGAAACATTCCATTATCCTTCAATTCCATTTTCCACGATGTTTCTGAAGCCCTCTCATTACGCCACCCTCCTCTCGAGCACTCGAACACTCAGAGAATACTTTTTGTGGTCTAATAATTTTACTAGAACACAATTATTTTAATTTTACTAGGGCAAAATTATTGTTCTAATCATTTTACTAGTATGTTCAAAATCGCTGATGGAAAAACTCAGGAATTCAACTGCTACCAAGCCAATACTACTCATTGCGAGCCTACAGGCCAAGGCAGAACTGCTCCTGTAGGCATGACAGAAACTTTTATTGGGAGCAGACAGCTTCCTCTTTCTCTCCTGGAGCAGCGAGTGGTTTCAAACTGCTGACCTTGGGGGTGGCAGCCCAAGGCGTAACCACAACACCAGGGGAAGCAATAAATGCTTATCAATCTTCCAAGGAGGCCCGGACGTAAGTTTGACAGGGGCCTTCGAGATGATCATTTGGCCCCTCCGTCCCGAGCAACCTGTCGATCAAGTAGCTGTCCAGCCTCTCTGGCTTTCTCCGTCTTTCATGACAGCCCGTTTCCTGGCTGCACAGCAATGCCCACCAGGGTGGAATCACGTTAGGCCTCCCTCTAGCACACCCCACGCCAACTTCCCGGCCCACAGCGAATCTGCCTGCTCCTGGGGCCACAGGCAGAGCCTTGAAGGGGGCTAGGAGGAGGCGAAGCATGCAGGCCCTCAGGAGAGAAGGGTCACGCGGGAGGCGCGGCGCGCGCCGGGACGCGGAGGGGAGCGAAGCTGCTAGCCGCGCGGCGGCCTCGAGGAAGAGGCCCAGGAGGCCGAGAGGATGCTCTCCTCGAGCCCGCTCCGAGGCCCCGCCGACGCGCACTCTCACCAGACTCCTGCCCTACTCGCCGCCGCCGCCGCCGCCGCCGCGCGCTTCGCAGAGCTGAGCTGAGCCCGAGACCCAGCCAGCACCTCAGCTTCCGCAGCTCGGCCACGCAGCTCGATGACTCGTCGCTCGACCCTGGCATCGGCCCCTCGCACACCCCGCCACACCCACTCGGAGCGCCGAATCCGCGAACGCGTCTACGTCACTTGAGAGAAATTCCGTGATTGGCTGCTGACGTCCCTGCCCCCACCCCTTTCCCAACAGTTTTTAGAAAAGCCGGATGCGGTGCGGACGGGGAAGAGGCTTCCGTTGTCGTGGCGGCGATTACCTTGAAGCGGAGCTGACCGCTGTCCCCGCCCTGAAACGTTTTCCGCTGCTGATGGCATACACTCGCCCGGAAAACGGCATGATTCTGCCCTTGCCTCCAAGGTGGCACTTCCGTAGACCTGGCCTCAGCGGGAGAGTCGCGTACAGCCCAGCCGGGAGCCCTTGGAACTCCAGAACCATGCCGCCTAGAAGGCTCTGGTGAAGTGCTGAGGGGTGCCCAGGGCATGGGTCTCCGCATCCACTGCAGGGAACCCCCTGGAAGGCCAAGGAGATTAAGAGGGAAATGTGGCGTAAAGGGCTCACATAATTCCTAATGAAGACTTAAACCTTTCTTTTTTCCCCCCAAAATTTATGAGTCACTTTGAGTGAGGTGATGATCCAAAATTTTGCCACAGGCTAAATTATTTAACTAATTTAACATCTCATTGAGATTTCTAGTAATGAAGCTAATTAACTAATTAAGCCTAATTATTAATTATTGCAAAACACTTTTCAGCAGTCACCCTCCAGCTATCTTGGACGCACTCCAAGGTCACATCAGCCACTAAAGGGCACACATTAAAGGTTTGTGTGAGGAAGTGCCATCAGATTTCTTTTTCAAATATCCCTGGCTTGTGGAGAATGGATTAGATGAGGGTCAAAAATGATGGCAGAGGAACTCAATCGAAGTGGCTAAATATGAGATTAATTCTGGAAATAGAATGGAGGGAATTTGTTGGTGGGTTAGATAGGAGAGGATGATGGAGAAAAAGGAATTAGGGAAGACTTCTGGTTTGGGTCTTTTGTAATTGACTGAATGGATGGTGAGGGAACTATTTACTGAAATGAGAAAGAAAGGCTGAGGGAGTGACCCAGTTTGGGGGAGGGAAAAAAAAGCAAAATTAGCACCCTAAATGTTTGAGTTGCTTATGAATAGCTATATTAAACCATTAAATGGACAGACTCACCAAGGTATGGATAGTGTAATCATTTCTTGCTGCTATAACAAATGACAGTTTTAATAGCTTAAAGCAATACATTATCTGACAGTGATTGGGGTTAGAAGTCCAAAATGGGTCTTGTAGGCTAAGATCAAGCTATCAATAGGACTTCCTCTTGGAGGTTCTAGCAGAAAATTACTTTCCTAATTCCCAAAGGCAGCCCCCATTCCTTGGGTCATACCTCTCTGACCTTTTTTTTTTTTTTTTTCAGTTCAAGGTCTGTTTGTTGACCTTTAGGAGTGTTTTTCCAGTTGAATCTGATGGGGTGCCATGCCCAGGTACCAAAGTCTCTTTTTGATATTCCCTCTGGACTTACTTGTTTTGCTCCCCTTGCTGTTCTGTTGCACACCCTTAGTGTTTTGCCTCGGTATGATGGGTTCAGATCGGGTGCAATTCCCACACTGTGTCTCCAGTGTTGTCCCCTGTAGGCTATGAGTCAGTGAGGGATGCCCTGTCTCATAGTGGGCTGGCCATATGGTCCTCTGTGTACATTGGCTGCTCTGAGCGGGGATATCATCCTTAAGGCTTGGTGGGCCAGGATGTGCTCCACTCTTTCTTCCTCCTCCTTCATTTGCTCCGTGTGCTCTGATCAAACATGTCCCTTTTCCTGAGCTGTAGCTTCAATGCTGTCCTCTGAAGTAAATTCTTCTGGGGCGAGGGATGGCTGTTCACGTACTTGGGATTGGGGCTTGCCCCTCAGACCTCTCTACTGGTTCTCTCTGACCTTTTTTCTATCATCACATCACACCAAAACTGTAAGCCAGGAAGACTCCCAACCCCACCACTTCAATGCCCAGCCCCAATTGACTGGTAGAAGTCATCTGGAAAGCTGTGTTTTAAATGACTTAGGCTGAGTAGGAATTCAAGGGGAAAGATTCTGGGGGCTGCCATGTTGGTGGCTGTCTGTGGTAAACTGAGGGCCTGCATGAGAATGTCCTGCAGCTAAATCCTCCTTGCTCATCATGACGGGTCTGGAGAGCCGACTCTGGTGGGGGAAGACTCTCACGGTGATGAGATATAAATAAATCTTAACATACATTCTCATGACTGGACACAGTCCCTCCAATAACCCCCATAAAGAAACGGTCAGAAAGGAGCTACCATATAAGATGAATCATTTCTGTGTCTGGCTACTTCACAATGCCTGAAGGTTATCTGCATAAAAGCAATCTGTGTCTGTAGCCAACCCACCACAAATGTAGCAGCCCCCTGGAAAGGGCTCGGTGGGGGGGAATTGATGTCAACTAGCACTAGGTCAAGTCAATGACCCACTTTATTGTGAGTTCATTATGTTACCCGCTTATGAATTATCACCGACTTTGTAATATGTTAGCTGTATGATGTGCATGTCTTATGAAAGATCTGTAAGCCCCACTAAATATACTCATTGGAAAATACATTCTCTCTCTCAGTCCTGACATGGGATGAGGAGCCCCTGTGCCCCACTGTCTGTCTGTCTTTAATATTTTCCATAATCGCAAAGTCGCTCCTGAAGATCCGTTCAAGTGTTGGGGACCTCCTCGCCCTGACAGTTGTAGGGGTGGGAGAGGATTACGGGAAAGCTGGGGTAATGTCATATGTTTGCCATCCCTGTCTTAAGTCAACATCTTGAAGAAATCAATTAAGAGATGGAGAAAACTGAGCACACTCCCTAGATTAAGCTGGATTTTTGTTTAATAATATTTCCCTTTGCTTTCCCTTTTACCCCACTCTATCTTAGCTGTAAGGCTTTTAATTATCACAGCTATTAAATATATAAAGAATAAAACACTCCTTACAAACGAGACATTGCTGCAAAGGCAAATCCCAGGGATACCTCCCTACAGCAAAGAGAATGGTTCCTGGCACCCTCTGAGTAGCCTTATGAGGCTGCACTACATAGATGGTCATGCTTTTCCTCTAAGGCAGGTTCCTAAAGTGAGCGATATCGTCGCCTAGGGGGCACTGGAACGATCCAGGGGAGCTGTAAAAGCTAATACCTTACGTCTCACCTGGATTATGGGCTATAGTATAAACGTTTTTTAATTGTGGGGCAGGAGGATGCTGAGTAATTTTTTTCCCCCTGAATAAAAGACAATTGACCAAATAAGTTTGGGAACCTATGCTCTATGGCAGAGCTTCTTAGGTTGGGGGTTGCAACTCCATATTGGGTTGTACAACTGAACTGTGGGAGTCATGAAAAATTTAGCAACATGAACGTGCAATGATGTAATTAAAATTAATGAAAAACCAAACGTATAATGAATCCAAGGTGTTTCTGGCACCACTTGCCCAAGTGACAAATTTCTCAGGCAAAAGGGGAGTGGGAAAAGTTTAAGAAGCCCTACTAAGGAAAGCATTGTAAGGATTAGGGATACACTGCCTTAAAATAATTCAGTAGCATCCTAAACTCCATTAGTTGACTTCAAGTTTTCAAGTCCCCTCAAGTGAAACATATGCTTACAAATGTACTGATAACAATACTCTTAACCCTTTGTGACCTGTGGGACATATAATGCTTACATGTATTTTCTGCCTCTGGAATTTATTGGGAGTGTCCTATCCCACTTTTTTTGCGTGCTGTCACCTGGTAAGGACCTGAATGATTGCAAGAATCTGCAGAATCAGCCCTCATCCCACCAATCCTAATATCAGAGACCCCCTCAAAACCCTTTACCTCAAAAAATTTTTTTTCATTTCATTGTAAATGCTTTTCATTACTGAAAACACGTGGTCTCAACAAAAATTGATAGCAGAACATAATTTGGCTTCAAAAAGATTAGCTGGAAGGGAAGCCTTTTTGTGTTGAATTTTATATTTCAGGACCATTTAATCACTCCTCATAACCTCAGTTATGAAACAAGTTTATCCTGCCAGTCACTCAGCTTTTTAAAGCACTTGTGGTGGATAGGCATCCTGTGTTGGCTTTCCCAGTTAAAGAAGAGAGGGACAATAGATACAATGATTTTTATTGTTGTAGGTATGTGTGTGAAACACTGACGTGTATTGGAATTTTAAAATGTATTCTTTATGGGCATTGAAAGTATATTTTAAACCAATGAATGATCCTATTCCCTGTCTTCTGGGAAACGAGATAAGTCAATGCTCAGCCATCCCTGACTAACAGAAGTTTAGAAAGTTGAATTTGCACAGCTATTCCAGAAGAATTGGAAAAGTGTTAAAAACTAGTTTGCCTTTTAACTTTGATTTTTATAAAAAGTTGGGTCAATGAAGTTATGAGCTCGGATCTGGCTCATTAAGCCATGGCTGTGAAGCTTTACTTCCCAGATTCCCATAAAGCACATGGCCCATTCTGTTACCTGAAAGCAAGGCCCGCGTCACCCAGCTGTTCTCACCACGTCATGAGAACACTGCCCTGGGATTAAGGCACAGACTGCCAAACCAAGGACCAAAGCCTGAATCATCCGCAAGGTTGGGCCCCATATACGACTCTTCAAGCCACTTGCAGCAACACGAACAGTCACAGTGAAAGTTCTTGTCTCTTCCTCCTTCTGTTGTTGCCAATTAACACCAATGTCCAGGGTCTCTAGCAGCCCAAATCCAGGGTCGCCAGAGACCACCAGGGCCAGCGCCAGGGCTTAGGGAGGTGGCTCTAGGAAGGCAAGCTATGTTGTGAATGCAAACACCAGCTCCAAAAAGTCCCTAAGGAAAATTTATGACACTAGCAGTGCCGGGGTTGCCAAAGAAATGGTGTCCTTGTGATCACTTCATGAG